CACCCAAGCTCGGTGTATGATCCAGATATGCACACTAACATAACGTCTTAGCGATTCATGCAGGTTTGCGCTTGAAAGTCCTCTGCCATCCGCCGCTTCGATAGAATTCTTAATACGTGGCTTGTAATTTTTGGGCCTCAGATGTTAGTGTTACCCGCGTTTTCCTTTTGTTTTTACCGTGCTTCTAACATATGTTTCCTGCCACTACAAGTGTTGATAAATTTAGTACTTTAGCGAAAGTTCTGCAGGTTTGAAACGGATCGTAGATTTCGTAAAACCGATTGCTCACGTCTTTTTGTTGTTATGTTATAGTTGTGAGTGTAGATCCGCTAAATTGTCGTCAACAAAGTAAGACAATATCTGGTATGGCAAGTAAACAGAATTTTCCTGGCTCAATGTCTAAATTTGCGTGATCAGGTGGAAAATGCTTAACTGGCATAAATTTTACCAAAGATTCTGAAGGTATTCTTATAAAGGAGATGTTTAGTTCATTAATTTTGGAGGTGGTAGATGAGGTACGGAATCAAGAATTTCCTGAGACATCTCTATCTTGCCAAATCTATATATTATGTTCGCATGTTTTTGTACTTGCCTTCGATCTCTAACTGTGCGTCAGCAGGAATATCCGCAGATGATGCTCAACTTATTCTCGTTTAGTTCGGATTCGAAGATCCAATGTGTTCACTTCCTGGTAGCAGCTCTTCAGAAGGAACACAGGGCAGTATTCACAAATGGTACTTCACAAAGGAGGAGGTTTGTTTTAGCTCCTCTCCACTACTTCCTTTTTCTTTTCCGTAAACTCATCTAATTCCTTTTGCTATTTCGTTCGAACTGAAATGTGTGTGTATGCGTGGATGGGTTTCTCCGAAAATGTGGACCTTTTTTGACGGTCTGCTTGGTACCCATATGTTTACCGGCGTCCGTGCCAGCTTTAAATACCTCTGTTTCATAATATCTTGGTGAAATTCACTTTAATATTCAAACAGAGAAGGAATCATAATTTGAGGTCGTAGGATCAAATGCGCGCGGTTATGCGTAGCCACGGCATTTTTAGGCTTCTCCAAGTTGATACCTCTCGCTCGCTATCGAGTTCGGTCAGAACTGTTAGAATTCTGTTAGGACCGGTCGTATTAAAGTATAGGCAGCTTTTTAATTCCGTGTATTTTTGAGCAAGTTTTTCGAAATGAGTTTTTTCTGATGAGACTCGGAGACTTTGAAAGCTTGATGTTTTTATTGAGGATTGTTTCCTTTTTAACTTATGATAGTTTGAAAAAATGCAGCCGAAATGAGAACGGATTTGCACCGCCTTCGTAGTAAATATTATATTTATGTGGAACGAATTAATTTTATAATCAGGCGCTGATCACGTCGCGGCTGTAGCATATTCTGTGAGTACCCGCCCCTCTTATACTTTACCATCCATCCATTGTCAAGTTTCTTTTCATTTTTCTTGACCATTCTGTTTTTAAACAATGGGCAACGAACCTGTGGTTCAGACTACCCATGTTGTATGCTCTCTTCTAATCGCCGATATTATGAGGTCGCGCCGCGCACGTGGTGTCCATTGCATTGAGAGGCAAGAGTGAAAACAAATTTCGATGTTACTACTTCTAATGATTGAGCACCCTTGGTGAAATTGCAGTTACATATTTTTCGGAGAATATAAATATTCTAAAGATAATATTCCTAAAAGCACTAGAAAGGTTTGAAGAATAAGCTTGCATACAAAGGGAATCTTTGAAAAAAACACATAATCTAAAGCCCATGGAAAAAAAAACCCAGTCCTGCTCTTGAAGTCCGAGTACGGTTGTGTCGGCACGACCGTAGGAGGACTTGGTCACGACATCTCATGTAAATATCGTGTGATTCGATCATATATAGGGATTACTGCCAAGTCCAAATCTGACCATTACTCTAACTAAGTGTAATTGTGAAGTATGAAGAAAATGGCCGAACTACATAAAATTTCATTCAAGCGGCCATTTGCTACAGAATATCATCCACCAATGGACCAGCATTTGGTTCCGCGTGTTTAATTAATTTAATTTCAGGCAGCGAACACAGCAAGCATACGGGAGCATGGTTTCACACCTGAAAAAGAGTTGACATACAGGCAACAGGCGACAAGGTTTATCCAGATCATGGTTGATCAGCTGAACCACAATGTTCGTGACCAAAGGGGGAAAATGTAAGAAGCAGTTGTTTATCGGTGTTCTTTTACATTGGCATAATCTGACTTGTCTTTAGATCTCAATTATGTATGTGTGCTGCAATCATGCACATGCATCGATTCTTTTGTTTTCACTCCTTCAAGTTTTTCGACTACAGGGTTGGTTTTTTTTTGCTTTCGATGATTGTTTAGATTTTTACATGCTTCTTCTGATATGACACCAACTGCTTCCATTCTCAGGACGTTGCGGCTGCGTGTTTGTTTCTAGCCGGTAAGAGTGAAGAATGCCCGAGAAAATTGGATCACATTGTTCGCGTCTGGTGGTCGAAGAAGTTCGAACGGCATCCTGCGATTCCTTCGAATAATGTAAGCTTTATTATACTACTCGATTTTAATACCGATGTGTGTTTAGTCAAACTACAAAAGGCTTATTCTGACTCAGTTAATCCTCCTTTGTTATTTCTTCCTAGTTCTTTAAATGTTGCCCGGAGGAATAAGAGGAAATGGGAGGTTTTTTTTGTCCGTGGATTAATTGTGTTCGATCGCATATACACGTTGTTGCAAAGTAATTGTGGTGGCACTTATGACATATGGTGATAACTCTGTCATTTGTCTTACGATTAGTTTTCAAAATTAGCGGCAAGCATGGATGTAAAACACTTCATGAAAATGAACATTGTTCAGGGATTAGGCTCTACCTAGTTTTGTCAATACTTCATTACGGGTTATCTGCCGTTAAATTTGTTTCTGTTCCCTGTGACTTTCCTTGCTAGGCCCATTCCACTTTGTCTCCTCATGCGTCGGTTTGCTCGCACAAAATCGGAGTAAGAGAGCCGAACGTGTACTTGCTAAGGGAAGTTTTATAAAACCAGCAGTTCTGTCCATTCACGTGGAACGCTACTAATGCTTGAAAACAGTTCCGATAATAAGAGAGACTTCAATTTATTTGTCAATTTTGAAAATCAGCAGCGTCAACACTACTCTGCAACATCGTACTTTATGGCTACGTAGTGGATGTCCGTTATGTCAGTGCTTACTGCTGGGCTATGAAGCATTGTTTAGTTCTGTGGTTGGAGATCGAATGAGAGACTACTTCACTGCATTCACTTTGTAATTTTTCTCGGGGGTGCATTTTGTAATATGCTAACTTCCATTGACTTTTGCATTTCGTTTTCGGAAAAGGGCACGGGTTGGGTCAGCGAAAACTCCCCTGTATGATATTAAAGGCACAGTTCACGATAAAAATCTTTTCTGAGGTTCCCGCCCAGGATGAATTTGAGGCCCCCGCGTATACCACATCGGCACTATTAGGTCGGAAAGCGGCCTAGTTAGGTAGTTACAAAGACTCAAAGATTGGCTCGCGTGTATCTGGGACGAGTTTCATCGCATTGTAGCGGCTGCACAGATCAGAAAGGATTTCGTGTAGGAAGTTCAAACAACTTGCCGTGACCCATAGCGACAGTGAAAGACAGTTCTGTACAGTTCTGGCTTGATGTAGTCAGCTCTTTGCGCAATCGCAATAACTGTAATCTCGTCCCAACACCTCTTCCATGTTATTTCCGTCGTGGCAATCTCTTCCAATCTCTATTTTCCCTACTTTTGAGGAGCCATATTCTTGTCGGCAAGTCCTCTCGATTTCTTACCACCGATGAACTATTCCCAATCTATAATTCCGCTTTTTGAATGAAAACGGGTACCTCAAAATGATCGTGAACTTACCTTTAACTTCCACGAAGTTGAAGTCTTCAAAACAGGAGTCGTGTATCACTATCATCCTTTTTTTATGAAGAGCATGTAGGGGAAACTGATTTGGAGAAAACTTTCATGTTCATATTTGAAAAGGTGGTTCTTCGGTAAATGAAGTGAGTTTTGTTTTTTTTTTTGTTCCTCTTACCGTGAGTCGTCATATTCCTTTCCACTCACAAGTGGATTATAGCATTACGTCGAAGCTGCGCAACTGATTGTGCAATTGGAGAACATTATTCTTCAAACGATAGGTGAGTTCTCCTTTTTCTGATGAGTCGGCCATTATCGGGCATACCACACTTACAATTCACGAGTAAAATCCGAGAAAGACAGTCAGAGGTTGTGTTCAGCATTTGATCTGAAGGTGGAGATGCCACATCCCTTCGTTCTGGCTGCTATGCACGAGATTGCCCCCAGTAAGGACAATCTTTTATTGTGTATTCTAGATGATTTCTGGCTTACTACTCCTACTGTTTTCAGATAATAAGAAGCTCACAGAATGTGCGTACTTCTTCGCTACTGACGTGTAAGTTCTAAACTTTACTTATGGAGCGTGACGAACTGAAGAAGCTATCTTTAGTGTTGTGGAATTTAACTAGGAAAGTTTTAATCTTTTACTGTACTTTAACTACTTTTTCCAAATCATGTCATGTCCGCGCTAGCAATAACAAATACTGCTATTGGGTTCGATTAGATTAAAACTTTCGCATTAGCTAGAAAAACGTAAAACTTTAACAGCTTTGCAAATGGGGGTAGTGACACCAGCTCCTGCTATTCTTTAAGCGAATAAATATCAGGTGTGTGCATTAATTTCCGCCGTTATTTGCGTGCAAAAACATATTTATAACAAAATTAAAATCAAACGTACATCGACCAATGTATTGCCCATCGTTAGCTATAACTTCTTGCCATCTTTCTGGTATCTTGTTGACTGCGGGTCTGAAAAAGTCTCCATCTTTTGAGGCAATCCTGTTGTCCACCCATTTTCGCACTTCATCGGCATTCTTTAAGCGTGTATCTGCTAAACTGACTTGCATGGACCGGTATAGGTGGTCATCAGAAAGAGCAAGATTCGGAGAGTATGCGGACTGAATAAGCTGATCCCATCCAGCAGCTGCAATTTTTTTAAAGGACATTCTTCGCAAAATGGGGCCTGGCATGGAACAGTACCTCATGATATTTTCTTGCGAATAACGGCCGCTTTCAGATGAGAGCATCCTACAAACTGTCAAGTTGATGTTCTTAGCGG